GGGGAGGATGTGTACACGTGCAGCACAGATAACGGCCTCTTCGATGACTATGCACAATCGTACAACACTTTTTCCTCGAAGGAGTCAGAAGGATCGTCCATATATTCCGAAAATGAAAACATCTTTAGCGAAAAATTTAACGATATCGGTTTTAAGATAATTCATGATAGGAATGAAAAGGAGAAAGAAAAAAAAAAATGTCTCATCGTTTTAGGATGTGGGTGCTATCGAATTGGCAGCTCAGTCGAATTTGACTGGAGTGCAATCCATTGCGTAAAAACGATTAGGAAGTTAAACCACAAGGCAATCCTCATAAACTGCAACCCGGAGACGGTCAGTACAGATTACGACGAAAGTGACAGATTGTACTTTGATGAAATTACCACAGAAGTTATCAAATTTATTTACAACTTTGAAAAAAGTCACGGAGTTATAATAGCTTTCGGCGGACAGACATCCAACAATTTGGTTTTCAGCTTGTACAAAAATAGTGTTAACATTTTAGGGACAAGTGCAAAGAGTGTAGACTGCTGTGAAAATAGAAACAAATTTTCCAATCTGTGTGATTCTTTAAAAATCGATCAACCGAAATGGAACAAATTTACCAAACTTTCCAAAGCTATACAATTTGCAAATGAGGTGAAGTTCCCCGTTTTGGTGAGGCCGTCATATGTCCTCTCCGGCGCTGCCATGAGAGTTGTAAACTGCTTTGAAGAATTAAAAAATTTTCTCATGAAAGCGGCAATCGTTAGTAAGGACAACCCGGTCGTCATTTCTAAATTTATTGAAAATGCGAAAGAGATAGAAATTGACTGTGTGAGTAAAAATGGGAAAATTATTAACTATGCCATTTCGGAGCATGTCGAAAATGCAGGTGTGCATTCAGGAGATGCCACTCTGATACTTCCTGCACAGAATATTTACGTAGAAACACACAGGAAGATAAAGAAAATTTCGGAGAAAATCTCCAAATCGTTGAACATTTCTGGACCGTTTAACATTCAGTTCATTTGCCATCAGAATGAAATAAAAATTATCGAATGTAATTTGAGGGCTTCTCGAACCTTTCCTTTCATTTCGAAAGCTCTAAATCTGAACTTTATCGATTTAGCTACCAGAATTTTAATGGGTTATGACGTGAAGCCAATTAATATATCCCTCATAGATTTAGAATACACCGCTGTGAAATCTCCTATATTTTCCTTCAACCGACTGCACGGATCGGATTGCATCCTGGGGGTAGAAATGAAGTCCACCGGGGAAGTTGCATGTTTTGGTCTCAACAAATACGAAGCTTTGCTAAAGTCCTTGATAGCCACTGGCATGAAATTGCCGAAAAAATCCATCCTCATAAGTATTAAAAATTTAAACAACAAGCTAGCCTTTGAAGAACCTTTCCAGCTGCTCTTCCTAATGGGCTTTACCATTTACGCAACCGAAGGAACCTACGATTTTTATTCCAAATTTCTCGAATCCTTTAACGTTACCAAGACGTCCAAATTTCACCAGAGACTCATCCGAGTGCATAATAAGAGCTCAGAAAATCTCATGCCCAACATTACGGATTTGATTATGAACCACAAAGTCGAAATGGTTATCAACATTACGGATACGCTCAAAACCAAGGTCAGCTCAAACGGATATAAGATAAGACGCCTCGCTTCGGACTTCCAGGTGCCCCTTATAACGAACATGAAGCTGTCCTCGCTCTTTATAGACTCTCTCTACAGGAAGTTCTCTCGCAGGAAGGAGAAGAAGCCCTTCTACACCATTAAGAGCTACGACGAATACATAAGTTTGGTGTAGCCAGGGGGGCGGAAGGTAGCGGCAAGTAGCCGGAAGTAGCCAAATAGCCAAAGTAGCCCAAAATAGCCGGTGGTTACACTTAAGTTGAGGGGCACGCTGCCCACATGCTTAAATGTGTACGCAAAGGTGTCTACGGACATGTGTATACCCACAAATTTGTATGCTCGAATATGCCTGCGGAACTGCGTGCGTAGGGGCATTTCAGCATCTCGCGGAGTGCGACATTTTAAAAAAAATAAGCGCAAACATTTTCGACCCCACGCAACCCCCCAAATGGGTACGATGTTCGTGCAAAATATATGTCCCCCAGTTTAGCTGTCAATTTTGCTTTGCCTGCAATATAGCTCATCTTTTTTTTTTTTTTTTTTTTTGATGACCCAGTTGTGCAGTGCCCCACTCCAACACGTTAGTCCTTATGTCAGTTTTAGCCCCAGTGTTGCGCGTACGCTTGTGCGTGCGTGTGTTTATAAGTTCACTCAGTGCAGACACATTTATGTTCATTTCCCGCGCTCTTGGCGTGTTCGCGCATGGGGCGAATCCATTCATATACGTACCCATATTTGTCTATTTGTACATACGTAGATAAATACATAGATACAGATATGTAAATATTTTCACACATGTGTGCTTATTTTTCCTTTTTCCAACACACGCTATCACACCATTTGTGAGAGAGTAGCAAGCAGAAGGAAAAAAAACCCCTTCGCGATAACAAATTTTAAATAGTAGGCGAATTTCGGAACTGTTCAAAATGTCAAGCGAGTAAAGGGGGGTCACCCCGTTGGAAAGTATACATATACAATTATAGATTTGTATAAAAAAGGGGATTAAAAAAGTGAGTAAAAAAATTGATACAAACAAAAAAGAGGGGAATTAAAAAAAAAAAAACTGTTTCTGCGATTTTTTAGGTGACTGCTATCGTTCACAACTTTCTAGCAGTTGACTCGGTTCTATTTCACGGGTAGTGCTTCACTTTTTTATCACTCGAGAGCCTGCAGCAGTATGTCCAAGTCGTCCTGTTTGTTCACTCCGTTCGTTTCGCCTTGTGCATTATCTGCACCCCTTGCGGTGTTCGTCATGGCAGAATTCTTAGCCTCCTTGGCGCTTTCCCTTTTATGAATTTCCTCTTGAATGGCTATCTGTCTCTTTAATTCATCGTGTATATCGAGAAATAAGGAATCGTCTAGCGAGTTTAAAATGTCTCGAACGAAAATTGTGTTTCTCTTTTCACCTTCGCAATGTTCTAAGGCTCCATCAGTAATGTACAAAATGAACATGGACAAACATCGTCCCAAAGTGGTAACTGCTTCTTTTCTTATTTTGTAATTTTTCAAATCTATGTTATTATGTATTATCTTCAATATTACGCTGTTGGGTAAACCAAAAATGGTCTCTTTGATCATATTTATATTTTCTGTGCTTTCTTGTTGTTCCATGTTTTTGTGCAGGCGATTTGAAGTGTTGCGGGAGAGGGGGGCCCAAGGGGGGTATATACTATATGCCGAGAAAAAACCATACGCGGATAGGAGCAGCGGAGTGGGGTGAAGAATAAATCGTTATATATGGACAGTATGCTCAGTGATGCAAGCAGTGTCTCGTTAATTACTTTCGTGTTATCTTATCCAGACGAATAAAAAAGCGGGCTGATAAGCATACGTGCACGCGTTTCGGAAGAAAAAAAATAAAAATAAAATAAAACAAAATAAAATATAAAAAGATATAAAAAAATATAAAACAATATAAAAAAATAAAACAAAATGACAAGACATTCAAACGGGCAAAGGTGCGAATCTGTACATATGTCTTCCTCCCATTCAGCAAGCATGCGCGGGAATGGGAAATAGCGAACTTAAATGGCGTGACACATTTCTTTTACGTTTTTCATTGGAAGGAATACTAACTTGAAAAGGGTTTTCTTACGTGTTCGCGTTTATTTTGGCAGTCGAGTGGGTCAAAAAGAGAAATAATGAGCAGGGGAAAATTCCCTTTATGTGTATATTTTAGCCTATTAACAAAAATAACCGCTTTGCATGAAACGTGAGGGGAGGCGGGTACCTTAGGGGTGAAGCGAAGGGCATAGAGTTTCAATGGGAACATGTGGGTTAAGCCCAGATTGCCCATTTTGCGCACCATTTCGTAAATCGTAAATTTTTTTTTCTTTTTCCCCTTCTATTGCGACTTAGCGCTATTTATTTATTATGTTTTTTTTTTTTTTCTTTTTGCCTTCTTCTCGCTGCGCTTAGCTTCTTAAAAAGGGAGGGCGTGAAGGTTCATTGACGAGGGGAGTTCGCGCGGGCACACATACACGCCACTATGCTGCTATACCATTATGCCGCTTTACCCGCTACACCGATAGACACCGCTACACCGATAGACACCGCTACACCGATAGACACCGCTACACCGATAGACACCCCTACACCGATAGACACCCCTAC